TCATAAACGAACTCTTTACATTCTTCGCACTCCATATATAGACTAACATATTTAAGTGCGCTGTTGCCCTCAACCACACTTGGAGTGGGGGTCGTCCGTAGGTGGATTTTTGACACGGGTCTTGCCCCGTGTTGAGATTGCGCTGGAACCCCCATTCCCTATACTACTACAGTCAATGTTCATGGAAGTGTCTCGCTAGCATGTTTTTTAAAATAAGCTTCGCCGTAACGCGTCAGACCAACGCAGCTGGGTTTCACTTACATTGCTGAATTAGGAGAGGAAGTCCTGCCTGCTTTTAGACTGATGGCAAATTTTCCGTCAAGAGCGATTGGTTTCATGGGTAATGCGGCCAAGCATGCGGGTACAGCCTGGAGCGCGCGTGGATGGCAGAATGATATATCATGGGATGTAGAATCGAGAATCGCAAACATATAAAAAAAAACCATTTTATTTTCACCTCAAAATTAAACGTCGGGTATAATAAACTCACAAGCCGTATGAATTATGTATGCACCGCATGTATGGAATCTGATCTTATTCAGGCCTTTTAAATATATCAGAAAATCAGACTAGTCCATCGGAATCGAATCAATATCGAAATACCAAATTTTCTCGGGTGACCATGAAACAAGTCGAGGTCGGACTTGATAAAATGTCTTAAAAGTATGAAAACATCAAGTCCAACCCCGACTTGGTGCCCTTGCATAGGGGTCACTTCGAGACCGTGTTCACACTTGGTTCTTGTGCTTGGAAGTACAATTCCTAAGCATGGTCGAGTACTAGCTGTTCCCGAGTACGAAGGTTGGGAACTTGTACCGCGCAACAAGTGACCGAGCACTATTAAGTGTGAACACACCGAGTGACAAGTTCAGCTCCACTATTCCAATATGATTGGTGTGCTATCAATCTTCCTTTTGGATAGGGAATTAAAGTTTCACTGGGCCGTGCACACAGTCTATTTTGGCGTAGATGTTTCCCCATTTGAGGACTTTGGAATAAAATAAGTATAAGCCGTTACGGCTGCCGTGGTCTAAAATGAGAAAACATTTCGCCCCAAAGGAAAAAACTTTTTCCTTCTCTCTTCAAGGGGTCCCTGGCCGACAAAGAATCGTTATGCGCTGGTTTTTATCTTCACTCACAACACAAGAACATGCAATATGCCGACGTAGAATAACGTTGTACTGTTCACTAACTAATAGGCCATTTGCAGGACATATTCACGTGTGACTGTTACAGGATGGCAAAACTTCAAACTTCCTTTATTCCAATCACTTTTGCTGGATTAGTAATGTCATATCCAATAGCTTTTCCAAAATGCTTTTCCCCCTTACAAGATAGTTTCGGTGCCGTCCGGCAGAACATTGCCCAAGGGACATTTGGCTGAATTGATTCGTTATCAAAGTGATATATCAGCACGTGACTGTTTGTGAAAATGGCCTATTGTCTTTCCCCGCTAACGCTTGCTTTGGGAGAGCTGCAGTAAGTCTGTGCATGTTGCTGTTGTAAACACTTGTCTTTCCGCGCCTATTGGACAAGAGCTGCAACGAGTCTGCGTGTTTCTCGTACTTGTGTCAAAGCGATGGGAGAACCCAGGTAGCATTCAGTGAATGTAATACACAGAATACAATAGATATGATAAATATATTACATCACTAAGTGCTGCGTAGGTCCAACCATCTCGCAATAAATAGACCTCTTCAGCTTGTGCTTAATGTTTTCCCAATTTATACCAAACGTCATTCCCTTGTGTATCATTCCTTTATTTAACTGTTGCACACTAGAAGACATAAATATGGATACAACTCAAACAAATTATCTTGTTCTCACAAGAATGACACGTGGTCTTCTGATATGGGAAAACATTGCGCCCAAGCTAAACAGGTTTATTGTGAGCCAGGTCTTGGGAAAGAACGAAGGCTGACAATGTTTCGTAAGGAAATAATTAGAAATCGTTGTATTCTACATAAAACCAAACATCTGCATCAACGAGTTGGAGTACGCCATGGGTTTAACGTCGGGGTGCGGCTGTTGAAAGAAAGAAAAGAGAATGATTAATTTTAAGATTGTTTTATGAAGGTACACTTACAGTGCTCCTCAATACCTAGCATACATGCACCCAAACACAAACTGTTGGTTAGGTTTGTCTGCGAATCAGCGACAGATTTCTTGTTCTAGACCCCCAGCAACGTACCAAAATAAATGTACTAAATTATGATTGGTTAATCCCTACTCGCACTCTTACGCGCTCTTTCATTGGCTTTTTAGCGTTACTCGAACCAGTCAGATTCGTAGACAAACCTATACATCAGTTTATGTTCGGATGCACGCAGGCTACTCAATAGTACGTCAGGAATCGTCGTCACCGTCGTCACTCTTGAAAACTTTGTGTTTTCCCACAATTAATGTCAAGAAAATACCTTGATTCACGTCCACCAAAACTCTAATTTGTGTCGCGACGGCAAATTGTACGATTCTTTAAGATGAACTGAAGTAGCCAGTGGCTAACAAACCTGTGGTCTTCGTTCAACTCAAAGCTGTACCAATTTATACTTTTTGTGGAATGTTTCAATGGATTTCAGTTTTACTTACAACAGCATCGTATGTGGTGAAGACTGGCTTTAGATCCCTTCCCATGGTGATGAAAGCTCCCTTGTTTCCCATCTGGTCGCTAAAACAGTTAAGCAAATTTGAAAGCATTAAATTTTGGAAATATTTAAGGCAGGTAAACATTTAAAACCAGAGTAAAAATGCTCCAACAACATGCAAAACCATCGATGAAGCCTTGGCAGCGATTCTTAGTTTTCTTCTATAACGCTGTCAGAATCAGTCATAATCACCCTTCCCTGTGCAAATATGTCAGATGGTGTTACATAAGACGATTCGTAACGGCGATTTTTTGCGCAACATTGTTGCGTTAAAAGTTGGCCTCGTGTAACATGGCGCGCGCGGCAACACAAATCGATGACAACAATGTCGTGAGTTTCGAAGGTCGTTCAAAAGCCTGAAACATGTTGCCGCAACAAAATATCGTTAAGAATTGTAACCGCGTTATACGAGGCAACACTGTTGCCATAAAAACGGAATCGTCCATGCGAATTGTCTCTCGTAGCACCACCTAAACATGGCGCGCAGTTACAATTTTGAAAGATATTTTGTTGCGCAACATGTTGCAGGTTTTTGAACGAGCTTTAAATACTCACAACATTTATGCCATCGATTTGTGTTGCTTCCCTCACCATGTTTACGCGAAGCCAACTTAAGGCGAAAAATTCGTCTTGTGCAACGACACAAATTTGTGCAATTTCTTACACAGTTTTTCACGGATATATGGTATACACTCTAGAACATTAAATTTGCTATTTACGATTACAATATTTGAAGTCGCGCAGCAACCAAATGATCAATGAAATATAGGTAATTTAATGCAAAAATAACCAATAAATTTTCCCTAATTTGGTGCTGGATCTAACGTGATAAGCATTGTTTTTTTTTTTGTCAATTAAGAAAAGGCGCATTGAGCTGTATTAGGGTTTTTGAAGGGTCTTTTAAAATTCAATAAACTTATTTACGAGTCTTACCAATAATTGGGAGCTGAGAAAATAGTAATACACTTTCCACCATGCATGACCTCGTACCCTTCCGGTTTTACCTCATGACTTCGTATGATATACTCTGAAATAATATATGAAAATTGATTGGAATAACTGTGAATCCCCTCTTCATTAACTGTGTCTGTGATCATATCCCATTCCACTATACTCCCCTTTCCATGTCTGTAAACCCATCCATTCTCATGCTATTTACCATTCAGTGACTGTGATCCCATTCCACCATACTCCCCTTTCCATGTCTGTAATCCCATCCATTCCCATGCCATTTACCATTCAGTGTCTGTGATCCCATCCCATTCCACTATACCCCCCTTTCCATGTCTGTAATCCCATCCAATCCCATGCCATTTAACATTCAGTGTCTGTAATCCCATCCCATCTGACCTGGCACTTTCCACAAAGGTAGCCACTACATCTAACTACCTACCCAGGTCATTATCTTTACAGAACTTCTCTGTAATATCAGGACCAAACTGGATTCCTACACCTCGTTTACTGGTTGATCTTCCAGGCTAAAGTACACAAACATTTTCACATTAAATGCAACCAATAAAAAAGGAAATATATTGCTAAAACTGGTTTACAGCTAGCTACAATAAAAGGTTTTTAACCCAGAAATGTGAACCCCAAAACATGAGAATCCCTTGGTACTGTTATAGGGGATTCTACTCAGGGGAAATAACTCCTGCTAATGCTTATGCTAAAAACCAAACAAACATATTTTACAACCATCACTTCCCATATGGGACTCTTCCGTGAGGCTCCCTCCACACACACTACCACTACATTCTATATTTACAACATACAGCACTCAAATCATGTTGATCCTTACGAAGGAGAAAACTGGAGAACCCGGAGAAAACCCTCGTGGCAAGGGAGAGAACAACACATCAAACAAACTCAACTCACATCTGATCCAGTCTGAGCCGGGGCTCGAACTGGGACCACGGCAGTGAGAGGTGAGCAGTAAACCACTTTGCCAACCTACTCATACTTGATCAAACCCTGAAACAACTTCTGGGCTGATCTATGTCAGGGCATGACTTGAATTTAAGTCTAAGAATTAAACCATAAACCTCAGAGAAGAGAGTTGAGTGCACTACTGCTATAGTGTACCACCTCACCCTTGGTTTATACTTGATTGATTTTTACCTGTGGTTGAGGGTCTGACCATAGTAAATCACACATAAGACCTGACAAAGTAAAACAATTGAGAAAGTATTATAAGGGAATAACAAATCATTGAAAAGCTGTTTGAAGTTTTTTATAATTAGGAGGTCCTTTATAGTAATTACTATGTATATTTCACGCCAACAGCTCATGGTATGTAATTGACAACATCCTTTAAACCAATCACCTCATTCGGTTCTTCCAATTGAAAAACAATACTTAAGGTTTGTGGCAGGCTAAATAATTATCTCAGAATTCTTCTCCAAGGTTGCCAAGGCTTCTTTTACATTACAGGTGATAACCGTCGAAACAGAATCCCTGCTTTAGGAAATGCTATATCTACTCCAGTTGTTTGCTATATTTTCCAATCTCATTACCCCCCCCCCCCCCCCCCCCCCCCCCCCCCCCCCCCCTCCCAACATGGTTGGTGCAACCTTTGAGCAAAGCAAAGTTCATCATGGTGGAAAATGATTTTCGAAGTAGTTTTTATTACCTTCTGAAGGAGGCTGCTTATTCCGAGATATTTCTCTTAAATCATCTAACTTGACATTATCTGAACTAAACAAGCCACCATGCATAACCTACATGAAAAAGTTGGAAGAAACTTTAAAAAATCAAACTAAAAAAAAAAACACAGTACATGTAGAAAACCAATGAATGAACCAGGGATTAGGGGAGGGCTTAAAGATGTTCCTGGCACCCTCATACAAAGGATTCTTTTCCACAGAACAACCCTTACCAAAACTTTGTTTTCGATTAAATGACACAAGGGCAGCCAGTTATAGACTTCTGTAAAGAGGTCTACCATTTCTGGGGTATATGTGAGTAAGGTTAAGGAAATTGAAGGGGAAAAATGCTATAGCAAGGGTTATGTTTTTACACTTCAGACCACGTTGTTTCCTTGAATATTATTACTTTGTCTAGTGCTAGATAAAATTCATTTAAACAAACATTAAGCTATCAAAACAAATAATCCTGTTTCCAAAAATATGTAAAATAAACTACTCTATCTACTTAAGAAAGAAATGGTCTGAACATTATTGATTTCAGATTATCTAAGAGACAAGAAGACTTTTTTCCAGCTGGTAATTACGAATAAAATAATTAATTTCATAAACTCAATTTATAAATAAACAAAATTTATAACTGTCTACAAGTTGTGCTGTTTGATTTTAGAATTGGTTGGCAGGTTTTTTTGAACCAATAAAATATTTAAGAGTGTTTGAAAAGGATATTTAGTTTTGACCTCTCCATCAAAGCCATACATTTGATTCATAGAACTACTTTCATGGTTTCCTGAAAAAAGAAAAAATATACACCAAATTGAAATATAATGACCAATTTGAAAAACTATTGCTCTGGGCCCGGTTGTATGAAGGGTGAATAGCGCTATCAGACGGATAAATCTTATCTTGGATAAATTTATTGGATATCAGAATCATTTTATCCATTGGATAGTGCTATTCACCATTTGTACAACCGGCCCCAGGACTAACTCAAGGGTGGATCAAAACGAAGTTTTAGGGGGGGGCTAATTGAGTTTCTTCTGTCAACACAACGGAAAACAATAAAAAAACATCTAATTCTTCAGTTTTGTTTTGTTTTGTTTTTTTCTGCTGAAGGGGGGCTTCAGCCCCCCTTTGCCCCCCTGGATCCACCCTTGTAACTAGCCTCTCATACATGTGAAAATGATTTTGTGTTTCCAGGACTGGGTTGTTCAAAGCTGGATTAGTGCTAATCCAGGATTAACTCAGACTATAGGTCTTATTAAGAGTTAACCCAGGATTAGCACTAATCGGGCTTTGAACAACTGGGCCCAGGGGCTAGCTAATCCAGAGCAAAAGTTATTCAAATTGGCCACCATATTACGATTCAGTGCATAAGCTTTAGCTTGTAGGAGGTTTACTGCTATTTCCATAAACATGCAAACTCGATAAATGCGTGCTGCATGCTGAAATTTAGTTTATCAAAAATAATCAGTTGATACCTTTTATATTTTTTACTGGAACAAGAATAATGAAATTCCAATGGGCAAATCGCAACTACAGAGTTTGCATATTCATGAAGATAGCAGTAACTTTTTTGCTGAAGTGGATAGAGAAGATTACACTACAGAACAATGGCCTACAGTTGTATAAGCTGCGGATAAGCTGCAAGGACATGCCATCATGTTTCACTGGATGGAGTCCCTTCCAAGTCTCCCTAGGAATAGGATGTTTACTGTGATTCTAAATAATCTGCAGTGAACTCAGACATTTTAACAGCTTGTTTTGAGAGTGCTTTTTAGCAGCCATCAATCAAAATAGCATCGTTTTAGGAACTGAATGCAAACAATTTATTCCTCTAAATTAAGTCCTTCCTTGTTTGACCACCATTTTTAAACATGATTAAATCTATCTCTCTGAGGTAATTTAGTTAATCAACGTTTGAAACTTGTTTAGTTAGCCACCTGTGCATTGTGAACAGCCACTAGTTTGATTAAACTCTTAAAAAAGGTTTAAAAAACTGGTGTGAACAGGTTCTATTACCTCTTGACATGAAGAAATGTTCTGGATATAATAGCTTGAAACAAAATAATGTGAAGATAACTTCACATGAAAATGACCCTCTATCAACAAAATCTCCATTAAAAAGCTAAACTCAGTTAAGGATGGATAAGTGCATGGAAAAAAAGTCATTGATGGCTTGGTGGCACATAAAAAATATTCCTAAAGTATTCATATGATAAGAGCTTGGTATCCTATTTATTAATGAGTTCCCATGTCATGTCACGAAGTATGTATGATGACCTAACTAGCTTGCAAAACTAATAATACAATAACTACAGTAATACAATAACAACTAGACTGAGATCAACCATTTTGTCTCTTTCAAAGGATACATATGGATTGTCCTCTGATGGAATTCCATTTAGTTCAAATATATTGAGAAGATCATAAAACTGACCATGAATATCACCACAGACTGTGAACTTCCCTGACTGATGAAACACAACACCAAAAAAAGCAATTAGAACAGAATAATACGTATTACCAATAGAACTCTTACAATGTTTTTCGATATTATGCAAACTCAGACATTTCACACCTTGTTGTGAAATTTGTTTTTCAATGCCCCCAGTTATAAATATAGATATAAAAGGTACTGACTGATTATTTTTGATTAATGGCAGCGAAAAACCAAATATCAGAGTGCAGCTTGTGACGACCAAGTTTGCAGAATATTGAAAACCACAGTAAGTTTGTGGATAATGTTTGGATCCCATTTCAGACCCTGTGCTATTTCCTAGAGTATCATTCCTTTGTTTAACAGTCGCACATGAGAAGATCGACACATGATGAATACAACTCAAATAAAGAATCTTATTCTCAAGAGAGTGACACATGGTGAGACTGTGATGGGAAAACATTATGCACAAGTTAAAAGGGTCTATTAGACAAGACTTTAGACTATTAGTTTTTCATAGATTTTTACCAGCTGTAGGACAATTTTTGATAAAAAAACTAAATGGGTCGTTGAGTTTGCAGGGAAATGAATGCATAAGATAGTGTACAGTGTACCTTGGGTATTTTGATGTTAATCAGCGAAGGTTGTTTTTCCAGGAACAATTTCATATCTTTTAATATCTAAAAGAGAGGAAAAATTAACTAAAAAAAAAAACTTTAAAAAAAATCAAATTCATTATTTTTTTAGAGCTAAAAGTGAGATCTTTGTAATATTGCAGGGGCTGTGGTAGGGGGAGGGGGTGGGACAGGGGGGCTACAGCCCCCCCCCCCTTTTTTCCATACTAGTCTCATTGTATATTTTTTTCCAATCTTAGCACCCTCTCCCACTCTTTACCAGGGTGCTCCCTGGCCCCTGAGTTGTTGAATGATCACCACTGATGTTGCCGTCTGATTGCAATCACCTCTATCTACCTTTACTATCATCATTACATCGAGTGTGCTGTGAATCAAATACACATAATAATGACATGCTCTGACACATCGCCGTGTGTGTATCCCTCCCCTCCCCCTAAATACTATTATAACAAACCAAAAAAAAGATGGAAGCATCAAGTTGTACCATGTAAGAAATAATACACCTCTTTAGCTTGAATGTAATCTTTTCCTATTTCAAACCACTTGTCTTTCTCTAGAGTATCATTTCTTTGTTTAACAGTTGTGCATATTGAAAAGACACATGAATATGGGTATGACTCAAAGAAAGAATCTTATTCTCAAGAGAATGACACATGGTCTGAAATGAGAAAACATCATACTCAAGCTTAAGAGGTCTATTCACCTTATAAGCAAATTTTCTATGAATTTTCTTTTGTTCTTTGAATGTTTCCATCATTTGCTTTATAAAGTCCAAGGTATATCCCTGCTTATCATCGATGACTGGTCCATCATAGCTGTCTTCAACAACTGTGAACAGAAAATATGTGTTTTTCCAGAGAGCTTACAGAACATAATATGAAGAGTTAATTAACGTTAAAACACTCAAGAAGTGTTGAAATTAAAGCAGTCTGCTACAGTATATGTACATGCTCCTTTTAATACTCCTCTTACAGTAAATAAGTAGGCAATTGGTCTTTCTTGTCTCACCTATTGAATCAATATCAATCGTATCAAATACTGCCTTCTCTTCTGCTGCAATTGCTTTCTCGAACATTTGCCGTTGGACAATCTTCTTGCATTCAGTGTATTTTGCCTTGGCATCCTTATCATTGGGTCTGAACTTCACCACCTAATGTTATTGTGAATAATGAAAGAAACAATTTATACAAAGTTCTAGTGAATATCACATTTTATCATTTAATTCTACAAAGAATGTGCGTGATATGGAAAAAGACCATGCCTGATATGAGACAGTATCAGCACTTCTCATCTGCTCGCACTGGGTACAGTAAGTTTAGAGAGGGTTTGTGCATTTCTTTCCAGAATTTCAATGATAAACAACTTATCAGTAGGCTAAGCAACTGATACGACTTTGCATTTTTACTTGTCACTTGTAAAAATATGCAGCCGTATCAGATGCTTAGCCTAATGATAACCTCTATAAATCAAGAGGGAACATGGATATCCAACTTTCGGTAGTAGAGCCAATCAGAAACGTACAAGTGAAACATACAAACGAAACAGCAGAATTGAAAACAATAGCCTTTCAACATATCCTTTTACTCCCACGAGAAAATGACAATCTAGTTGTTTCACATGATACACCAGGGTCAAATAACCATACCTTTGGTTCATGTCTAAGACTAACACTAAAACTAAAAATGAAGTGCTTAATATCTACCTGTAGTAATCATTTCACAGATATATGGCGTGCAATCTATTAGTACTAATTACTAAATTGACTCATGATATTCTCGACTTAACCTTAGCTTATATCAAACCCTAATTGATAAAATATTTGCCATGGAACCTTAAACTACTTTTGTAAAATGCTTTCACTGAAATCTCCCATTCACAGGTGACATTGTGATCATACCATTTCATAGTCCTTGAGGCTTAGCTTGAATTTTCCAAGTGCCATGTTAGCCGTAGCTCGCCGGTAATACCCCTGGAAAAATTGCATCAATCAGGGTTAACATCTGAAAAGATTTGTTGATACAAGGGATTCATGGAGATACCAAAAAATTACTTTTAAACATCTTTCCTGATTTGCAGTTGCATGCCGTTGTAACATTTGCAAAGGGTTGGAATATTAAGAAGATGGGACAAGTTTATATTGAGCAACAGTGAATATTGTAAATATGGCGTGTCTTGTTAAAATTTGAGATTTTACTGCCTTCAATCATGCAATAGCTGCATGTACAAATAAGATTGATCATATGCTTTTGGAAGAGATATTAAAAACACACATTCCTATAGACAGCTAGAGAGCTAGAGTGCATATAATATTGAAGATTTCAGCAAATAAATCCTTTGATCTGGCAGCCATTTGATTATTTGTATTTGTATTTGGGAAAAGAGTCATAGTCGTACTTGGATCTAGTTTTCCACACTCCTCGACCAGCCCTCTAGCTCTTCAGCAATATTTATTGAACTATTAAAGGTGAAGTGTACACAAATCTCAAACTTATAGTTTAGCATCCTTTTTGCATGTAAAGGTATCTAGGAGGAATAGTAAACTTTTAACCATTGAGGAAACTTTAAAAAAAATTTTTTTCCTCAGGGAGTTCTGATTCCGAAATCCCGAAATCGAAAACTATTAAAATAGAGCACTGGGATGGAATGTCATGATTGCCAGCTGCTCAAAATCTGTACGGCTAACTTACTTTTATGTACTTCTTGTCCAGTTGAATGGCTTTATTTGCATCAGCAAGAGCAAGACCATAGTACTCAGTCTTCAAGTAACAAAAGCTCCTATTACCTAGGTAAGCTGGTACAGAAGGATTAAGTTCGATGGCCATACTGTACAACCCAATGGCGGCTTCATATTTTCCATCTAAAATTTAAAAAAAATCACAGCTTACAACTCCTCTCTAGTCACCAACTCAAGCTCGATCTCAAGAATACCTTTGAATAAGTTGTTTGCCTGGGTTTTTAATTGTTCAGCTTCTTGTATGGGTGATATTTCGCCATTAAACTCTTTCCCGTCTTGGCAGTCGTTGTCGTCGGCCATCTTGCTTGTTCTTGTGCGGGAAAATCTCCACTAGTCCACAGGCCTTTTGACCGCAACGTTACAGTTGTTGCATTGGGGTATCAAGGGAGGGGAGGGACATTTTGTTGTGCATAACCTTGTAAGGGCTATAGGGGCCGAAAAATACGCTTGGCGGCGAGTAATATGAAAGAGTTTTTTGATAAGTTTTCTCTTTGACAGGCGACTGAAGATTATCCCCTAATATGTCAATGACAAAACTTCTCAACTGGAGAGATATTTTGTGCTACTAATCATATTTTCGCACATTGCCTCGCTATGATTCATTATCCATGTTTTTTTTTATACGCAGAGAAATGATAATCTTGGAAATGACACATGGTCTGAAATCTATGGAAGGAATTACACCAACACGAATTAGGTCTATTCAATGGTTTGACTAAACTTTGCACTTTGGATCCCCATGACAACATCAACCAATAATTATAGTTAATAAGACACCCACAAATGCTCTTATCATTGGCTTTCATGAGAACACTGAGCAATATGAGGACTTCTTTTGAGTACCTTGGGTGGATCTAGGGTAGGGATGCAAAGGGGTTTCACCCGACCCCCACCAAATAAGCTGATTATAATGCATTATTGATGTTTGAGTTTGTGAATGCCTTGATCATAAATGATGTAGCCCCTCCTAAAAAATCCTCACCACTTCTGGGCAAAATATTCAAACTATACAAGTCTCAAAATTTAATTTTTCAACATTTGCCAGGCTAGGGGTCCCCTCTCCATGAAAGCTGATTACAAGAGCATTACAAATTAGTAATAATATGGTCCATGTACAAGAGGACCCTTCATATACTGAATTCATTACATACTCAGTTGTGATAACGGCTCTGTTTCATTCCTGTTTATTACTTGTTTCAGACACAGTATATATACATTAAAAGCACCATTAACAGGATATAATAAAACGCAATGATTACATATTGTTAACATGCAATCACATATGATCTGCATCTATGACTACTGAGGCCCTATTAGAGAAGGGGGTACCCATGTCCTTCATCTGATTTTATGATTTTAACACTACCAATGTTGCAATTTCGGAACATTCTTGTTTTGCTTGTCAGAATTTACTTCTAACAGGGAGTCAGTAATCCATTAGAGCAGTCACTGTGATTCTTTGCTAGTTTGTGACTCTCGTGTTGCCATTTTTAGATCATGTCTTTGTCAGAATTTACGCCTAACAGGGCCTCACTTCTAGCAGACTATAGTCAAGTTCAAGATTAATTACAATCAAACACAAATCTATACTTGCTCAGCCTTTGTCAAACTTGATGTCTTGACTTTTCTTTTGAAGTGAGTTTTACAGAGCAATATGGCAGATGCCAAGCACGACTACCATAGAAAATATATGTAAAAGACATTCAAGATTCTAGGTTTATTAGAACTGGATATTTTTATGAATGCTATGCTTAATATTTATTAACTAAAATCCATTGTGCTTTTCACTAGTGATTATCTCAGAATCTGATATATGTTACCCTTTGAATATATCCATCCCAGTTCTATCTAGTTTCTAAAATGATTTTTTATGCTCCACCAGGGAGATAAAAAATAACTCTAGATTCTTGCAGTAGAGTCTACTGACTAAGTTTAAATCATTACGAAGGTATGAGAATGATTTGAAGGTGATAAAACAGGAAGAGCCAGCAAGATCAGAAAATAAATTTAAAAACAATTCTATAAATTTACAAAATGTACCAATTATTAAAGCACATTCTAACCATCCCTCTTCCTCCTCTTGGTTTTGCTCGGATACTCTTCATCTGATGCAGAGTCAGTATTGTTGTTTTCTGTCTTGACCGTTAAGCCATCTAAAGGAGAGTTAGGGTCTTTGAGGCCTTCAAGTAGGGATTCTGGGTTTGGTGAAGTACTTAACAAAGAATCAGGTGTAGATAAGAGAGCAGCTGTTGCATCTGCATTAAACTGACCAGTGGTCCTTGCTTTTTCTAGTGCTCGAACTATTGAAAAAAAAGTTGCATACAATTTAAACAAATTGTTATGATTATATTTTTCTGGTATCCGGTATCATGTTTTCTGATTGTCTAATGGAGTGATCAATATTTCTATCTTTGACCACAGTCAGGCACTATGATATTTTGATGTGCAGAATGGGTAGTTGAACCATTTCTAACCAGGTTTTTAATTGGTCGCACATCGGACAATGTCCTGACAGAACTGGGACATGTCTGGCGAAAACTTTGCCTTGGCTGGTCATTTTGACCATTAACTCAAGCCAGAAATGAGGTATGACTGAGCTAAAACTAATTTGGCCTGTGATCATGATTGGCAACTGCATGATCAGCCATTATTATAAGCCCTGCTACTCCAGACCAATAATTGCAGTCCTAAGCATTTAAAATTTGTAGGATGCAAAATTGTGAAAGCTTTACCGGCGTTTGCATTGCTACACGGCCACCCCAGACAAAAATCGCGACATGCACTTTGCAATGGACTGCCATCAATCAAACAAGTTAACGTCATTTACACGCGTTTGGATCGGCCTGGATAGGATCGGCCTGGATAGGCCCGGCAAGTGTGGCTCATAATACTTGTAAACAACCCACCGAAGTTTTGACGTCTTTTGAATCACACACGCCTGTAAATGATGTCAACATGTTTGATTGACAGCAGTCTATTGCAAAGTGCACGTCGCGATTTTTGTCTGGGGTGGCCGCGTAGCAATATAAACACTGGTAATTGTCAACATATGTATAAGTGAGGGTACCAAAGAAATTTGAATTCAAATGCATTTTTGTCCCCCCTGCATAAAACTATTTTTAAATGAATGCCAGTCAACCTCTTTGCGAACTTGTTCAAGAACTATTGCTCAGTTGTTCTAATTAAATTTCAAGGCATACAATGTGGGACAAAGTTGAGTTGTGAAGAGAGAAACATGGCTAGAAAAATGCACCTGGAGTGCAAATAAAGGATTAAATGAATACAAAGAAACAGATGCACTGTAATGTAAAACTTTGACACTCGAAGTTTACCAAGCCTGCCAGTCAGCAGTTCTAGCAATAAACATATAATCCAACTGGACAGAATTAATTTCATGAGGTAAAGAAAGGAAACAAGAAATAATTTACTCTTATAGGTATCTAATATTTAATGCACCTTGTTGATCTAGTATCATGTTTTGTCTTTTAAGGTCATCAATATCCATCTAAAATACAAAATATACAAAGTAGATTAAAAATTACACCATTAATAACAGCTGCACACGTGCACACATCTAGATTTTGTATGCCAGCATAAAAAATAAATAAAGCTTAATGGGGGCTACGATATTCCACTATTAACTCGGTTTCTTGACTAATAAATAGCCCTAACAGGTCCATACCGTTAAATATATGTTTTTCACATATGCAGACTGTCTTACACATGTAATTACAGTAATAATAATAAGCCTGGTTTTCAGGTTATGATGGAATCAGAGGAGTTGGAATTGGATTTAAAGCAGTTTTTGCGTGGAGTTGCAAGTGAGAACCGATCACCATTCATAAGAAGAAGCCAAGAAAAAGGAACCCTCTTAATCTTTCTAGATTTACAGCCATTCTCAATCACACACTGTATGCCACTCTAGCGATTGTTTCTGTTGCGACAAAGAAGCTTTTGGTGCACGTCAATCAAGGCGTTTCCATGACATTCTATAGGCATGTGCCCTTATAGCTTTGTGTTTTCCAATAATGTTATGGAAAGGCCTTGTGATTAACGTCCACCAAAACCTTCTTCGTCGCGACAGAAACAATCACTAGAGGGCGCGCATGTGATTGAGAATGGCTGTAAGGTGCTTCCAACTCTGTTTTTTGGTTTTCACTTCTTCATAAACATTACTTCAAACCAGGCTTGACAATGAATGCTTCTTTCTTACCTGATGTGTGTGATTCTTTTTCCTCATATGCTGAATGTAGTCTGTTGCTTTATTTAGTATTTGTGCCCTTGACGCCTACACAAAGGAAAAAATGTTCAGTCTTGGTGAACATGCATGCTAAGAGAAAATATTATTTGCATGGTATAAGCAAACAATAATTAATTTTCTTATTTTGATATCTTTATGTTCTTCAATCAACTTTTTTTTGTATATTCTCTCATGACCTTTGTTGTAAATCTAATAAATAAAAAAAAAACATTAATGTAGGTAGATTATCCAAATGGGATGACAGTCCTGTTGACTTCTCCTGTCGTACCTTTTAATGCATTTATGTAATCAACTTAATATTTACCTTGGGTGTAATGTTTTCGCATTTCATACCACGTGTCATTTCCTAAAGATAGCATTTCTTTGTTTAAAATTTGTGCATGACAATTGCCCTAATTCACTATGACCTCACATCAAAACAATCTTCAACAATCTATTGTTTAAACACAAATGGTCATGGTTGTTGGACGAGGTCAAATCAACGCAAATTCACTGAAAATTGTTCTAAAACCCGTATCAATTCACGAAGAGAAGTAGAATAGCCAGCAAACACTCAGAATATTTTTAGAACATATTAACACATATTATATCTGAAAACCAGGCCATTTTAGATTAAACTGTTTCGCTAGGAGCGAATTTTGTTGAATTTTCTATTGGATTTGGTGATTCTATCCCCCACATAAGCAAGCAGTGACGTCATGGTGAATTTGGGCAATTAGACACATGAATATGAATATAACTCAAGCAAATAATTATTTTCTCAAGGGAATGACATATGGTCTGAAATGGGAAACCATGGTCAAGGTAAAGCGATGAAATCGCATGCTGGTAATTTTTGTAGAAAAGTTGATAAGTATAAATCATTCCACGTGAATTGCTGCTCTCCTATGTCAATTCATGTTACAGACCAGAGCCCATGGAATGGGGAAGGGGATTTTAGCTTGCCCTTATAATCTTCTCAACACTAGTATGCTATATTTTTTATTGGTTCAAATTTGACATGGTTTTCTGGCTTTATCTGGATAAAGCCTGCTATATTCCCAGGATGTACCTACAAATATCATCCTTAAATACTAATGTATATATTGCCCTTGATCGAGTAATGAGGCTATGAATCAAACATGGAAATATTCTACTACAAACTTCTTTATATAACAAAAAGGAATCTAGCTGGAATTGAATCCAAGACATAGGCTTACTTACACTACATTTTACAGTTTACACTACTGGCTGTATTTGATTGAATTTGTTGGTAAAAAAATGGCTTGGATGCTAAACTTCTTGTACAACAGTACAGTGTCCTGAACCAACTGAGCCAAATGGGAGGCAGGAATTATTACTAATAGTTTATTCATCAATAAATGCCAAGAAAAGCAATACAAATTGAAGCAATAGACTCACTCTTGGTTTTGAAATCTCATTGAATTGCACAATTTCTTGTGAAAACCGGAGATTTCTTTTCAAATTTTAGCTAGCTCTAGCCTAATTATCGAAGTGATTTTTAACATAACTTATACCGGTGTACATAACATAATTAAAGCAGACAATCATACTGATTTGCACAAGAATTAAAATAATTTATACTAGAACAGGATTAAATTATTATTACTTTCTTAAATAAATATGAAAAATAGTCAAAGTGTTTATGAAATGAGATTTTGACAGATAATAAACTATTAATAAAAAGTCATCTGTGTTTTCAACATTCATTAATCTGTCCGAAAGAAGAGGCCAGACACATCTTAATTTTCTATTTATTAAAATACGTACCCTGGTGCTCTACTCAGGCTTTATACAGCCTTTATTATGAAATGTAAAAATCCTCTCAATCCCACTAAAGAGTTGCTAAAATTCTGCAAATTTGGAACGAAAAGAAATCTATACAAATACAAGTGAGAAATGAGAAAACGAAAAAAAAAATCAAATTTTCAGCTGTTTGAGTTTTTAAATTTCTAGGAAGCTAGACTCCCAATTTAATATTCAGCGCAAGTCTGGACAAGTATTCCTATTTCGTACATGTTTAAAAAATTTTACAGTGATTTAAAAAAAAGTTTTCGGTGTTTTAAACAAATCTCAAGTTTAGAACAACGATTTTTTGAAACCTGGAGAAATATTTTAAGAGGAATTCGTGCAAGGAAAACAGATCTAGAACAACAGCTGGAGCTACCACTAACAAAAATAGCTCATAACTTTACTAAAATCTAGTTCAACGCAATAAAATTTGAGGAATATGTTTATGCCTATTTAGTCGATCGATCTTAGAGATTTTTTCAATAATATCCTACAAAGTGTCTCAAAATCCTGGACTTGCAAACAATACAAATACTAGTAAACGGAAACTGATTATTCAAAAAGATTGTTTACTTGTGTACATACTACGTTATCCACGTCAGTTAGGCCAAAATCGAAATTTTCCGAAGGTAAAGACAGAAACGTCGTATAACTATTAAACTTATCTTACATAGGGAAAAATAAGGAATGTTTCTAACTAGGGGATATATTGATGATTTGGGTTTGGCCACCCGTCGTATTATGACAGACACCGAGCGATTACGAAAGCATCGATAAACAATCGTTAGCTTACCTTTTCTCCTTGCAGTGAAGGGATGGAGTCCCGTAAGTGAGAAAAACTATCTTTGATGTGGTCTCTTCTCTTTCTTTCCAAAGCATTATGATGTGCTCTTTTGTCAGCCTAATGGAAAGAGAACAATCTTTAGCGTATGGGTGAGAAGGGCATACATTTTTCCCTTATCTTTTCAACCTTAAGACGAAAGGAGTCATCAAATATTCAAACTCGTAGAAAGAAAGTAAACGAGTGGATTTCATAGCGTGACGCGAAGGACACATTTACCTAATGAAATTCTGTGCGATTCTAACGATCCAACAATCTTTTCTATAGATGATTTTTTATCCAAACACAGCTAGCATACCAAGGTTTGACTGAGGTCGGACCGGTTAAATATCAACACGTGCTTTTAGTTTCAAGCCATGTGGACTAACTGTAGTCGAATTTGACACCAAAACATTCAAATGAGATGCTTGAAAAATTCGTTTGAAAAGAATCTAACTTAACATCATAAGGGAATAGTAAAGTGAAATAAGATAAAAAGAAAATCCTACATACAAGATCACTTACATCGTCGCTGCTTTCCAAATCAACTTCTTTTTCGTCCTCACTCATGTTGCTTTGTATTTTTTCCCTTCTGCGAGTTGCTTCTCCCTCGTGACTCGCGCACGTGTCCATCCCTTCGTACCTCAGCCGCCATCAGACATCAATCGACCAATCATGAGACACATTATATCACTATGACCCGATGTATCGTATTCTGTGATTGGCTTCTCCGCTAAAAATAAAGGAAGCCCAAAACTATTTTTATGAACATAGCGAGGAAGCCCAAACGTAGTTCATCGACAACGGAAAGTTTTTGAAAAAGGAAAAATTTCCTTAAACTACAAAACCCCAAAACCTATCATTTTTTGTTTTTGCTTTCGTAAATAGAAAAGTAAAATAAAGAAATGCTAACTTTCATAATATTGGTCTAACACAAATGTTTGTCAAGTTCCGATATTGTTACTTCGTGGGTATGAAACGGAATCATTAAATGTGAAATTTTCGATTATTCTTAACTAGGTGTGTCATCAGCTAAAGTTTAGAATCATACCAACCATATAATACAAGGGATTACCCGTTTCAATCATTATTTTAAACAGACATTTTTCGAAAATGAAAACGAAAGTGCAACTTGTTCCGGCTGACTCATAGTCACATCGGGATACAACACAGGTAGCCCAAGCTAGGTTCCTGTGGTGTCATGTGATAAGAAAATGTATGGCGATACTTAAAAAGTTGAATAAAATCGTCAAAATGTGAAATAAAATAAAGAAATCTGTGCTTAATGGCATCGATCATGAGGGATTGACCTCTACTACCACGCTTTTTTTTGTTCCGTTAATTAGCACCAATTGTCTTTCTATTCTCACGAGGGAATACAAATTTGAAAAAGAAAGAAATTTCAAGAAGTATTATGGTAGTGGGAATCAAATAAAGCCATCATGCAAACGGCCTATTCGTTGTCCCACCAAAGAAATGCATATCATTATTTAATCTCGTACCCAGGGGTCTGGGAACGAGATTGATCATTATCTTATATTAGCCTTTCCTAGGTGCATTGTGGGGCTATTAGCAGAAATATTTCCAAGATGACGCCTATTTCGTCCCCTAAAATAGCCCCAAACTTCGACCCAGTTTTTACCCTAACCTAGGAAAGGCTAATATCGTGATTTATCAAGAACCACGCGCAAATTGGTTATATCGGTTGAATGCATTCCATACAAATCACGCATGCTTCCCGGGAACTGTTGATGTCCTTTTCTTCCATGTCTTATGTTGTGTTCTGTATGATGTTGTCAGTGTTGTGTTCTGTCAGTACTGATGGTTTTCAACCATTTCCAAGAGAATTGAATAACAAAAAACACGACGGCCATGTTGGAAGATATAACAAAAGAATTCGTTGAGAATTCTTTTGTTATGCTCCTCCAACATGGCCGCCGTGAAAACCATCATTGCGTGTATTGTACGTTGTTTCGTTTGGTCAGTTCAGTTCTTTTCTGTCGAATAGAGAGGGGACCAGATTGAAAGACCGGGGATCGCGGAGGGGTAATGGCTGGAAAACTATTGTAGCCCCCACTCTAGTACTTTGGCTAATATGTACTAAATTTTCCAATCCGCTGAACCCCCCCCCCCCCTCCTCCCTTTTACCTTTTGCATATTGATCTCTTATAAATTGTCCGACCATTGTAAAGTTGCGATAAGTCCTAAACAACGTGCTAAACTGAGAACATTCGACTAGTAAATCAGCGACAACAATTGATAAAAAGCCTAGCTCCAAACAGGCACTTGGTAGATACCTTAGATAGTGCTGTGATTGGTCAACTCTAACCACCTTCAAGAACACTAGATGACCGACAAGGACTGTTATTTCTCCAACGTAATAAAAATGAATCTAGCGTTCTACGTAAGAAAAGACGTTTTATTGCTCCCGTGTGCAAAACCAATAGATATACGGACAGCTTCATGATTACAGGCGCACTAAATTACGATAAATGTAGTAATTTCATTAAATATAGATATTATTCGTTATATATTTAAGCAGTAATTCATAATATAATTATTTGTAATTCTCTTGTATTTACGCAATCTTCAAGAGTGCAAGACTTTTTAATGAAGCATCTATCTATCTACCCGTGAAAATGGGGAAGGGGGGTGGGGGATGGGGCGGGGAATGGCGCGCTTGGGAGCTCAGTTAAGTTACAAACGAAAGCAGACTGGTATAGGCTTATAATCGCGCTGGCGGAGGTTTACAACTGGAATGATATTTGCCTTAGCAGACAAGTTGTCTTGACACGGCGAATATTTTAAAGTTAAGGGCTATTTTCATTTCTCAATGCATGTCTTTGTTTTCAATTGTACACAACTCAATCAAAGTCCATGGCCGAATCTAGTATCAGGTAATATTAGCTCATCCACACATCGATTGGCACACCAATCATGAACAAGCAATGTTTACATCAATCCTCATGATCATGAGTCTAAAAGAAGTAACTGTGACCCGCCGAATTAAGGCCACAGCATTGCCAATACAGCGACTCGCACGAGTAAACTAGACGTCAAGAAAGAACCTCATACAACGATCGCTTAAAAAGCTTGGAAACAAAATGACAACCGAAATCGATTTAACTAGGAATCCTATCTGGGTGAAGCGTGTCGAAGGTTTGTTCGATACTATGGATGTCAATGGCAACGGCTTGTTGTCCATTAGTGAGATTCTGAAGTGGGCAGACAACTTGGAAAAGGCTTGCAAGGCGACACCCAAAGAGATCAAATCTCTAAGAGAGGCACTGCAAATGATGTGGGGTGTCGTTGGCCTGGTTCCTGGTGTTGAGTTGGACAAGAAGCAGTTTGTCAAGGGTTTTAATCGACTAGCAAAGGGAGAGCTGAAAAGACATGCAGAACATAAGACTACTCTGCACAACAGACAAAACAACGCCTTCTTCGACGTGATCGACGTGAACAATGATGGAACAGTTTCACTCGATGAGGTGAAAACCATGATGAAAGCTTGTAATTATGATGAAGACGCAGCAGAAGCCTGGTTTAATGCAGCTGATACCAACAGGGATGGTAGGATTGACCGAAACGAGCTGAACAAGGTCGAATTTGAATACTGGTTCAGTAATCCTCAACCATCTAATAAAGGACTGTTTGGAGGAGTGTTCGAATAAAAAGCCCCCGCCACTCCCCCTCAAAAAGTTTTTGAAACCTTCAACTGAAAACTCTTCCAACGTCTATGTGTCAACACGATTTCATAACCTAATGAGGCAAATGTTAAAAAGCATAAAGGTGCGCTAGTGTGCTGTACGTGAAAAATGTAACAATTTTCCTAGATTTTACACTTTTCCCGTTTACCAATTCTAAGTCAAAGCCGGAGCTGTAAGTTAAAATAAAGCTGTAATAGATTAAATAATGAATAAAAGTTGAGCATCTTTTAATATTTGTGTAATTAATTATTCACATTGATCAGGTTTTGACTCAGCGGGCACCATTAAGGCGTGTCATCAAGAGAGTCCAAGAGAGTGTGTGCCTACAGGGCAGAAAAACGGCCTCTACTTTCGCCGTTTATGCGTTAGTAAGCTTTATATTTCACAAATACCAAAATTTGGGGAAATTTAAGGAATGCGTATTTGAGATATAACGCCCTGAACGTTGGGAGAGATGATATTTTGATCAGCACAAAAACTAACATTTTCGCTAATACCTCGAAGAAGAATTGCTCGAGGTTAGCAGAATTTTGTGAAAGTTTAAAGCACAAGAGACACGAATGAAACACTAAACGTTCTTTAGCATGAATGAGAGATAAAGAAAAATATTTCGAAAGCTGTAGCAGCCTTGTCGTTTTTCTGCTCTATCGAGTGTTTTGAGATCCTTATACAAATTTATACAAATTTGAAAAAGAAAGAAAATTCACGCAAAATCATGGTAGTGGGAGTCAAATGAAGCCATCATGCAAACGGCCTATAGGTTGCTATCAATAGACGTCACTTCCGGTAATAGCTCTTTTTTGATGGCTTGTAGAATCTTGGAGGTTGTTTTGATCTCTTTCTTGTTTCATGTCGTAGAAATAGTCAAATGCAATAGTTTGATGACTTATTTTGATATGTTTTGACTTAACATCCGCTAGTTGCCTCTCAGTCAACCGCTTGTTTGCCCCCCAGTCAACTCCAAAAAAGTCACGTGATTGATAGTAAGCAATTCGTCCTCCCACCAAAGACATGCATATCATTATTTAATCTCGTACCCAGAGCACTTATTCATGCGCAGCCGTGAAAAAATAAAAAATAAGGACATTTCACCAATATGGCGTCTTTTTCGTCCCCTAAAACAGCCCCACAATGCACTGCAATGCCAATTCGACCCAGTTTTTACGTTAGGAAGGGCTAATATCGAAAAAAAAAAAAAAAAAGGCTAATATCGTGATCCTGATTTAGAACGAACGGCGCGCAGTTTGGTTATATCGGTTGATTGTATTGAATATACACACCACAGTCGAAATATGGCGACCAATCAGAATAAATATTTTGTTTTGGACTGACTAGCCTCGTGTTCAAGTGGAAAAATATAACCGTTGGCATGTATTAAATACCAAGTATATGGCCGAAACCTTTAAGATGATATAATTTTCCCTCTTACATAAAGGCTTTTGATCTCAAAATGCTAATGTTTTAAATCGATTGCTAAGCATTTGGAAGCCATCCCAATTCCCAGACCGGCTTGTGCTGAATTTTTTTTCTCGAAGTCACGCTCAGTAATATGACCGTTTGATCAAAGAGACTAATGTTCCCCCGGGACGTCAGTAGAGTTCTGACTTTAAAATCTCAGTTTCCATGAACAGTTTTCAACGAAGATTCATCATTTTCATTTCAGCCTAGTCAGAACAATAATAGCTAGGAGGATCTATTAATTAACTTTAGCGAATGCCATGCATGTTGTTGAATGAGAATATGAATTCTAAAATCAACTGGTAGTTACTAGAAAACCTGCAACCCTTTTGTATAGCTAATTTCCATTGTTTTTCACAATGTTCATTAGCTTTTGTACTTGAATGTTCATTACTCTATTTTTTCATCTATTATTTTTAATATCTTCAGTTCAATATCCACAACTATATGTCCATCACTGTTGGCAGTTGTTCGTCAAGAAACGTGTTTGGGCTTCCTTTAAGCTTCCTGCCATTCCGTCGGTGGGTAGGGTGGGGGTCTAGTTTCCATGGCTGACCGGGAGTGCATATGTGGCATCATTTTAGAGTACTTCAGGCAGGTAGATTCTACAAATATAAACTCAATTTGCTAAATCCTCAATGAATGTTTGGACCCCTAGATACGTGAAGGAAGTGCTCGACTTTTCTCTCGCTTGATTCGTCCAAAGATTTCCTCCCAGCCAATTCACAGGAAGATGATGGTGAAGATGGTGAACGTGAGCTGGGGAAGCTGAACCGGTGATTCCTGCCGCCTATTTAGCTGATTTAATCCAGTATTTAGAAAAATATTCAGGTTGGCTTAATTTCGTAATATACTTTGAAATGAGTCGTAAATCGTGGCGTTATATGATCTTCCTTCTTTCTATCTGGCTTCTAATACTCGGCTACATGGGATGGCATTTATTCGTACTCGTTGGAGATTCCAACAGGAATCAGGCCGCACTTGACCGAAAAGAAAGACATGTGGACCTCTTGAAGTCACAGAATCAAAAGCTCAAGGAAATGATCTCGGATTTGCAGTCCAAAATCAATAATTTGGAGACCTCTGCAAGTGTCAAAGAGAAGAAGTTTAAGAATATTTTGAAGCGCATGGAGAGTTCGAAAGAAAGAGACCAAACTGCAGTTGAGAAAGTACAACGAGAAGAATCAAATATAAAGACTGATTTAAGCTTAAAAACTGAGAGTTCGTCTTGTTTACCGAGCTTAGAGGCTGAGAAAGCCAGAAGACGAACTGAATACGAGGTAAAGGAACTTTGGTACTATGTAAGCGCAGAAATAACAAAAATAAACAAGGAAACGAGACTGGAAACCAAGAATAAGCTGACCAATATGTTAAACAACGTGGAACTTCTGCATCATCATTTAACAAATGACTTGGAGAAAAGGAAAATACTGGAATATGGTGACTCTTGGCGGCAAAAAGAGCATGAAGAACTAAGCCAACTAGTGCAAAGCAGGTTTGATCGGCTTCAAAATCCCGAGGACTGTGCATCGGCCAAGAAACTAATCTGCCAAATTAATAAAGGCTGTGGTTATGGTTGTCAAGCACATCATGTTTTATATTGTTTTATAGTGGCTTTCGGGCTTCAGAGAACATTGGTTATTGATTCTGCTGGATGGCGATACTCGTCCCGAGGATGGGAAGGAGTTTTTGAGCCTATTAGTAAGACATGTAAATCGTATAGTGGTTCTGTAGACGATTGGGGTGAAGGTACTTCAAATAACAAGAACGTCCTTCTACCCATTGTAGACAGTCTCTATCCTCGACCCCCTCACATGCCTTTAGCTGTACCAGAAGATCTCTCACTCAGACTCTCTAAACTTCATGGTCATCCTTTTGTCTGGTGGATTGGACAGTTTACTAAATATTTATTTCGTTTTACACCTGGTGTTCAAAAGGAGATAGATGAGAAGAAAGAGAAATTGGGATTCAAACATCCAATAGTTGGGTACGTATATTTTTAATATGATTCTTTACAGGTTCGTTACATACCTAATATAAAATAATCATTTATAAGGTGTGTGCATACAACATCTCTTTGTTTAAATTACAAATTATTTTTTTATATTTTTGTGGTTATTACAAGTCTGACTCTATTGTTCCAAAAATCATATAATTGTCGTATAAGAGGCTGTTTACATGATGCCGGAATGAGTTTCATTCCGGAACGAGTTCATCTCAGTTGCCATATATTTCTTTATATTTGTTTACATGATACCAAAGCAAAATTTAAATCCAGAACGAGTCATTCCGGAATGAGTCATCCCAGTTTTCATTCTGGAACGAGACGCTCATTCCGGAACGATATTCCATGCCGGTATCATGTAAACGTGGAACGGACACTCATTCCGGAATGAAACCTCTCTCTGGGGAGAATGAAATGAATAACGCATGCGTGTCAGACACTTCTCTGTTTGTCTTGCCCTCATGTCAAATCGTCTAGAATATATCTTTCTTGCAGTCGGTTCGACGTAATTCCTTTATTTCATTCATATTCCCTAGTGGTTTTTAGAAAGACAGATTATTCTTACACAATATTTTTTTGGTTTTATATTATCAAGTTTGAATTAATAATAAATGGGGAAAAAAGGATTTCTTTTATCTCAAAAATCTTCTAGAAAAATACTTTTTATTTTTCACGTCATTTGCATAAGATGTTCTCAAAATTATCTCTGTGAGCTTTCAAAAAAATAAATAATGCATGGTTAATGAGTTCCATTTGGACCATATTTGCAGATTTTATCAATATAAGCCTTAGTTTAATACTATATTGATATGGTTGGAAAATAAAAAAAAGATTATTTTTAAATACAAGTACATTTTAAAGTTACCTTTTTGAAACACAGCTCTGATAATTATTTTGTATTATCAAATATAGACATTGTCAACCATTTGGGATCCAATATACACGACAATAATTTAGTAGAAATTTTGGATACAGTGTATGATTAAAACCTTCAAATTTTAACCATAATTCTGGGCTGTTCAAAGTCAGGGTACAGCTCACTCCAAGATTGAACTCTGAAACAACCTCTGGGCTGATCTAAGTCAGGTTACGACTAACTCACAGATCGATATCTGAAACAACCTCTGGTCTGATCAAAGTCATGGCACGGCTAACTCACAGATCAAACCCTGAAACAACCTCTGGGCTGATCTAAGTCAGGTTACGACTAACTCACAGATCGAAATCTGAAACAACCTCTGGTCTGATCAAAGTCAGCGCACAGCTAACTCACAGATCAAACGCTGAAACAACCTCTGGGCTGATTAAAGTCAGGGCATGGCTAACTGACAGGTTAAACGTGGAAACAACCTCTGGGTTAATCTAAGTCAGTGCCCAGCTAACTTACAGATCAAATCCTGAAACAACCTCTGGGCTGATCTAAGTCAGGGCACGGCTAACTCATGGATTGAACTCTGAAACAACTTCTGTGCTGATCAATGTTGGGGCACGGCTAACTCACGGGATCGAACCATGAAACAACTTTTGGGCTGATGAAAGTCAGCGCATGGCTAACTCACAGATGGAATTGGAATATTATTAAGAGTGTTTACATTTTGCAAAAGGACATATATATTCTATGATATGATTAGGTAATAAAATGATGTCTTGGAATAAATATATTAGAAGAAGAAATTGTGTCAACACATGAGATGGTTGCTTTTTAATTCAATAGATGTTAGAACATTTTAAAATGTTATATAGTTTTTCCAGAAGCTGTTTCTTTATAATCTCAAAAAAGGAATCAGTTATGATTACTGTGCACAGTTGTTATTATTACCATTGATATAGAACATTGCTTAGCATGAGGTTTGGTTATAATGACTAATATTTAACAATTATTCGCTGAAGGTGAAGTGAATATAGGGGAATATTTACTGCGATTTGAGTCTTAGAGCACTTTTTTAACACAACTTCAAATTCAATAAATAACAGAGAGATAACTTAAAGAAAAAAAATTTTTTATCTTAGTTATCGGCACAAATCGACAAACAGAAGTGTGCTTGCTATATTCACCTGTAGGTGAATATGACAGCATAAGATGTACACGTAAATTGTATCCAATGAGCATGCCGGATATATTGTATTCTCTCAAAATACACTGTACTAAATATAACTATTCTCATACTCCCTTGTGTGCATGACCACGAAGTAATAATTTCAAATAAAGTTAGATTTCGAGATAAATTGTATAAAAAATATTCAGCTGTGATTTTGAAACAAATTATTGACAATCTTTGAATTTTGTCAACACCTACAGTAGCTGAAACAATAACCTCTGGGCTGATCAATCTTTGTCAGAGCATGGCTATAACTGACAGTTTTGTGGAGGAGGGGAAAACCAAGTGAAGAATGAAGCACGAGATTTTGGTGATTTTATTCTTCTTTTATTTTTTTATTCTTTTCCTTTGAAAATTTTGAACATGTTGGCTGTAATTATGTTTATTTTCTTACAATTATCATAAACCTAAAGACCCTTTCCAACTAGGGAGTTTGGCAACTTATTCATTGGCCTTTGGGCTGTATTCATAGTGCTAATATGAATTTCGTTACCACCTGTATAGTATCTTCATTTAGCTACTTTTTTACTTTGCGAAACATTAACGTTTTTTTCTCCACACCTTGATCAATTCTGTATATATCTTTGAAAATCAATTTAATCTATAATTTTATCTGCAAGATGAAATGAACAATTAAAATTCATTTCATTTATGTCATAATTCATCATTTTCAATTTCAATTTTCCAAAGATTAAAATACAGGTATTTGACAGATAAAATTAATCACAAGCTGTTGTTAATTAACTTTCTTAATTAGTAATGAAATCGTTTTGATCTGTTTTGACAGGGTGCAGGTGCGAAGAACAGATAAGATCAATACAGAAGCTGCGTTCCATAGTATTGAAGAATATATGTACTGGGTGGAATTGTACTATAAACAAAGATCCAAGAAAGAGAAAATTGATAAAAAGAGAGTATTTTTAGCCACAGATGATCCGTCTGTTTTACCAGAGGCAAAGAAAAAGTAAGTACTCATATGTAGCAAAAAAGGTATATGGTTGTTATTCCCAGTGCAATTAATCCTAAACACTAATAAAAAAAAATTTAAAAAAATGAAAATAAAAAATAAAAACCACCCTTTTTTATGAGGGTAGCCAGAGGCTAACAAACCTGTGGCCCTCATTCCGTGATCGAATTGGAATTTAGTAGTTGATTTTTGTGGAGGAAGGAAAACGGGAGAACCCGGAAAACCCTTGAAGCACAGGAAAGAACCAACAAACAACTCTACTCACATACAACACCGAACCCGGAGGGACTCCGATTCCAGTTGCATTGATGAGAGGAGAGTGCTTTCACTGCTATGCCACCCATGCTTCATAATGTTAAATAATAGTTTTAGATAAGGAGGGATTTAGAAAGCAATTTGATTGTAAAACATGACGATAAACAATTTGGAAACATTGCAAAACTAAAAAAACGTTAAAAAAAGATAAAAATACATATACATGTACTGTCATGTACATGTATGATGCTTAGAAAATATTTAAGAGGTTTTTTTTAGTGGTGTCATTTTAAAATTCTTTATGATCCTGGAAAATAAAAGATAAAAAAGTTAAGTGCTCATAATTCAACGATTGCAGCATCTTCAATTATAAAACTGCTCTTTTACTCCGATGAAGGACTAGCGTCCGAAACGTCAGTAAGTTTTTTCATCTTTTCACGGTGTATAATTTACCTTTTCATCATTACTGTTTCATTTGTCTGTTTGT